CTAATTTATCATTATTGGTTGTTCTTTTAATATTATATATATATATATATATATATTATTAAGTCTTATATATCAATCGTTTATTATATCAAACTTTATGATTGGTTCAAAATCATTAAAAAAATATGTGAAAATATTGATTATAATCATGAGGTGTATTAAGAGAATTATTTTACCATAATACATATCAATTTATCTTCTACATATATTCTCAAAAAATATTTATATTCACCAAGCAATAATTGTGTTGTTATTTACATTGATATAATTGTTGAATATTTGCAATTTGCTTATATTAGTTCATGATATACTCATTTGCAACATTGGTCAAGAACCTCATTGAAACCATTTTATTCCTACATGCGATTGCATAAAGTAAAAATAATAGCTAGTATTATGATCATTCTAAATATATAAGAGTCTGATTGATTTGTTATTTTTTCATTTGACTTGTTCAAGCTTTTTAAATTTGTTTTAGACGGTTCATAATTTGGTTTATTTATAAAAAAATACTGAAAATAGAGGTTTTAATAAAATTATGTAAAATAAAAGATATGTATTATATTGAATTTCATATTTTAAATATAGGGATGGAAAAGTCTTTTACATAAATCAAATATTTTAATGAATAAAAAATCTAAGGAAACAAAAAATGGGTTTCTAATGTTTAGAGGATAACACCTCATTATGTTTGGTTTCTTCTTTAAGAATTAAAAATATTATAAAATAATTTTCAAGCTCAATGCTAAAAAAAGAGAAAAAATCACAATAGACCGATTAACATCAACAAAAACTCATATCATATTTGTTTTCATGAATGACCCCTCAAATCAATAAAAAAAAAATATATCCACAAAAACTGAATAAAGAAGAAGAATTGGAAGATTAAAAGATATTATTATGCTAAACAATGTTACATTATTTCATCAAAGATTCATATGCCACTTTATCCACACACAAAAAAATCATATGTCTACATAATTCCAACTTTAGTGTGAATTCTCCGACTAAACGACGAAATATTATACTTATATAAGCAAAAACTCATATTATGATTAGTCTTATTGAATGACGCCTCAAATCAACAAAAATGTAAATCACTCCCACAAAATTAAACTGAATAGAGATAAAGAATTGAAAGATTAATAGAGAGATTCATATGTTTGTATAATTCCAATTTTAGTGTGAATATCTCCAATTAAAAGACGAAAATATTATACTTACATTAATAAAAACTCATATTATATTTCCCTTATTGAATGACGCCTCAAATAAACAGAAGTGCAAATCACCTCAAAAACTGAATAAAGATGAAGAATTGAGAGGTTTTTTTTTTCCTTAAACAATGTTACACTATTTCTTCAAGGATTCATATGTCACTTTATCCACACACAAAAACTTTATATGCCTACATAATTTCAACTTTAATGTGAACATCTCCGACTAAAAAAAGAAATATTATACTTACATAAGCAAAAACTCATACTATGATTTGTCTTATTGAATGACGCCTCAAATCAACAAAAATGCAAATCGCATCCACAAATTTATAACTGAATAAAGAGGAAGAATTGAGAGATTAATAGAGAGATTATCATAGAGGTGTACCACAAATTTATACATGAATAGAGAGAAAGAATTGAGAGATTAATAGAGTGGTTATCATAGAGATGTACCACAAAATTATACATGAATAGAGATGAATAATTGAGAGATTATTATAGAGGTGTACCATGAAGAGAAGATGAAAAATATTATCGAATAGAGAGAAATAATGAGAGTTAAAAGAGTACTTATTAGAGGGAACATGAATAGGTTGAAACAACCTAATTAAAGGATTTTAAATGTGAATATGAAACATAAAAAACAAATATTAAAGTAGGAGAAGCTTGAGGAAAAGAGAAAAAAGATAAATAATTTTCTTGTTTTGAGAAGAGGTCATGTCATTACATGTGGTTTCTTCTTTTATATATATATATATATATATATATATATATATATATATATATTTGAAATCAAAAGAGAATTTTTTGTATTGAATGCTCAAAGTTTGTCTTTTTAGACATAGAACAAGACATTTGATATGAATGCATTTTTAAAAGACATGGACAATCATAAATAGTCGTAGGAATTTTTTTGACATTTTCTGCATTTCAATTATTTATAAGAATTTGTACCATGAATCAATCGACACATATATATATATATATATATATATATATATATATATATATATTTTCAATAGAATTAGGACGAAACAATTATTGATAGTATTTAAATTTGAATTTAAAAAGACAACAATTATTATATGAAGTCACTCGAAAATAAGTATAGAAAATGTTTATCAACTGATATTTATTTGATGACGAAAAAAATCACTCGTAAAATATTAACTTAAATATATTCTTCATTAAATTTTTTGTAGCATTCTTTTTTAAATTTATTTCACGCAAATCCATGCATTGACAACACACTTTCAAAGATAAAGTCTGACTTTTGCAAATTTGATATCTCAAATATAATGTTTTTCAAAATATAAGAAATATAATTTTTATAATATACGATAAAAATGTTATAACACAAATTATATATTTTCTCTGTCAATCTTTAAAATTACATAATTGTCAAGTATAAATATTAACATATCTCCCATGAAAACATCAAAACTGAGTGCTTATATGTCTAGGCAAATTTAAGCTCTAGAGACATTAATTGTTTATGTTTTAAACTAAGTTTACAAATTATGTGATTGTGACACTATCTGTTATAACCGGGTTTTATCGGTTATAAAGTTTGGAGTTGTTATTGATTAGTGACAAAGTTAAGGGGCTTTTTTGAAAATTTGTTTAAGATAAAATTTCTCATCCACCGCCTCATTGTTTATAGGAGTATTGTGTGAGTTGTGAAAAAAGAAAGAAAGAAAAAAACTACTATATATATATTGGGATTAAATGTATAAATTTGTATTTCATAATATATGAAATATGTAGTTATATGAGGATATTACAGTATCTATAACACAAGTTTGGCAATTATTATTGTTATAAGCTATATATATAACATACATGTCATTGTGACATCCTCAAAGAATGGGACCCAACACACCGATATACCTGCCAAAACTTCATTTCCTCATATGACGAATCATGAAGAGAGACCAACAATCAAGCTATCATCACCAACACAAAATTCTTTTTAATTTGCGCGCTTAGCCTAATTATATTGCATGGAGTCCCAAATCCTCCTACGAATAAAACTCTCTTTGTCCTTAAATATGTTTTTATTGGTAAACAGAAAAGAGACATAAAACTTATGTACATCGAATTTTTATTCCTTTAACAAAGGGACAAAGCACAAAAGAATTAAAGCTTTGTTAGCCGCCCTTTTGACGGAACAAATTAACGAGCAAATCATTCGCAACGAAAACATGTCTAAGACATATGTATGTATCGGAGGTGGTTTCATCTTGTTGATTGTTTTTGACTTTACAAAGGTTTTTTAGAGCCACTTATCTTTTTGTTTTCTTCTTCAAGGCTTAGATTTCCAAATTTCTAAGGATGACTCACTCCATCACCTCCTTTCCCTTTTCTGAGTTAATAAAGTTTCACCATGCATATTGTCATGTCCAAAATTAATAGAATATTTTCGTATGTAATAACAAACCAAAATTATTAAATGTTCGAAATTACATCCAAAATTATTTTTATTTGCAATTTTTTAAATCATGGAGTAGTTTTTTTAGATATTCGAAAAGATTTAAATACCATTTTCAAAAAAATAATAGAAATAATTATATGTGAAGTTATTGAAGGAAAAGGGTGTACTCACCAGTCACCAGTCAAATGAGGCTACCAATTAATTCACCCTTTTGTATTTTATTTTTTAATTCCTAAATATATCACTTAAAAGTTAGTCTCACTCCATGCAGCCGATGTTTTGGACTTGTTTAGTTTTGACCATTATTTTTGTTTTTATGTGACAAACCACCACGTTCCTAGTTATTGTCTAAATATAGTTACAAAAAGAAGTGTAAAAGTAGAATCATCAAACTTAATTTTCATCAGGTTTTTTTTAATCATAACTCTTTGTACACCTCAACTAATCTCATAGGGTCTAGAAAACAGATAGAAAAATCATCAATGATTTTATAGGATTCGAACCAATGATCTATCATGAAAATCTATCAAGACTTAAACCTTATTGGTAATTGAGCTAATCTTATGGTTTAATGAGTATAAATAGTAAATTTGAAATAATAATACAAAGAAGAAACAATTTTAAAGTGAAAAATGTTAATTATCAAAATTATTATTGATTCTATTAGATGAAATTGATGTATCAAACTTGATTATAAATCAAATCCCTTAAAAATCATTTGAAAAGAAAGAACTTATATGGATTACAATCAATTTTACAATATCTTGTAGTAATAATTATTACTATTACATAAATAAAAATTTTGAAATTGATTTTCCCCTTAAAAATATGTGGCATGTTTTTGTCTATAAAATTGGGGGATAAATCAAAATATTTGTAGCCGCATTCGTGGTGTTCAACTTAACGGATTAAGTCCGCCCGACACGTTTAATTAACTTTAATACCATACAAATTTGAATTAAGTAAATAAATATAACTTGCAATAACAAGAATGATAATTTTGAAAGTTTAAAACCCAATATTTTAACCATTATAGGACATAAAGTGGGAAAGTAGTTTTGTGAAAATTGTACACGTTGGGAGATTATATATTAATAGCTTTTAAATACCCTTTTTAAATTTTGAAGTGTGATTGACAATTTCATATATACATATATATATGCCTTTTGAACGGTTTATACAGATTATATAATATGCCATGCATCGAGTTTGCTTGGTCGTATCTGCCCTTAGTTTGACCCAAAACATAGATCTCTCTCCTGGCCTCTCTTCCTCACTCTTTCCTTAAAAGACCATATGCATCGTATATATATAGCCTACTAGCCACACAAGGGTTTTTCAATAATACCATTCATCATTTTAGATACAGCAGATATATACATATAGAGTGAGAAGAACCACAACTAGTTCTTAGAGAGAGAAACAGATTTGGTGTCAAAGATGGAACAACAAAAGGCAGCAGCAAAGCCAATAAGCAAGATCTTGAAGTTTCTACCAAGAGCAACATCGTCTGTTTCATTTCAAAACCCTCCACTTTACAGTCCGGCAAAAGATAAGAGATCGTCGGAAAAAACCCACAAATCCAATCTCGGAATTGGTTTCTCAGGACCTATGGTTTCCATAATTCCGTCGGACAATCGCCGGAAAATCAAGAACGATTCAACTTACGCGCTTGTATATGAACCCACTTCTCCAAGGGTGTCTTGCATGGGTCAGGTCAAGTGCAAACACTACCGGAAAAAACTCGCCGCCGCTAGCGCTGGGGCCACCAACAAACTACCACCGACGCTCGCAAAACCCACCAATAAAGTTTCACGAACAACGTCTTTCACCACCGTAAGAACCCACTACAAAGAAGACGAAGAAGAAAAGTCAGCAAAAGTCGATCCAGTGGTTGTTAAGAGTAAGAAAAAATCAGGAATCCGTGGCCTATTCCGCGGCGGATCTGTCAAAGGCGGGAGAAAGTCCGATGCAACCAACAACAAGTCGAAGACGGAGTTGAATCTTCATCAGAAGGCTCCATGTTTGAGCACAATGAAGAGATTCTCTAGCGGGAGAGACGCTTTTTCGAATTTCGATTGGACAACACAGGTTGCACCGTTGGATTCCGCTCATCGGAATTATTTCACGGACGACGAAAGATGTGGTGGAAGCGACGGCGATGAAGAGATCAAGATCCCTTCATCAGCACCAGTCATGGAGAGAACCAAAGGGGTTTGTGATGATTTCATCAGGGTTGGAGGTGTAAACTTAGAGCCAAGAAAAGAAATTAACTTGTGGAAGAGAAGAACCATGGCTCAACCAAAGCCACTTCAATTGCAAACCGTTTAGTTTCGTTTTGGGGGTTAAGTTCTTGGGTTACTTTTTTTTTTTTTTTTTTTCAATTTTTCTTGTATTTTTGATGACTTAAATATGTGAATATTAAGAAATATCTGGTCATTTACATCAAATTCCAACATTTTTGTTTTATAATTCTCATTAATATTTAGATTCAGAAAACAAGGCATTTATAGACTTATAATTTACATCTCATTCATTCCAATATTGGTCTATTAACACTCACATATGTTTATAACTGATAATTGGTTGCTAAAATTGATGATATATATAGAGATATAATTCTCGCATTAAGGATGAAAAAGAAAATCTGATAGTCGAAAAAGCTGGAAATTGAATTCAACGGAACCAAAGAAAAAAGAAACCCTCAAAACCATAATGAAACCACCATGTTTTTTACCATGATGTTGGCAATGGTCGGTTTATGGACAAAACTGAAACTCGAATAATTTTATTATATGATTTAAATTTCTTACAATTGATGATTGTATTTTAGGTAAATGAGGCATACAAAATGTAAATATACGTTAACTGTTATAACTGTCGAACAATTTTGTTACAGTGAGACTTAATTATTTGATAACTTCAAATTTTATGAAACTTGTATCTTGAATCACTAATTTAAGATAATTAATATCATTAGTTAAAAAGATAGTTAACATTTTTTATTAAATAAAAATTAATATTTTCTTAGGAAATTCAATACATGTTTCTATCTCTCTTTCCTCTCCTCCCTCGTATCTTTGTATCAGCATATACGTACAATTAAATATGCACATAATGTGAACTAAATGTAAACAATCTTAAGAAATTTTTTACTATGATGTTCACAAGTGTTGCATTTGATTTAGATTCATTTTTTATTGATTTAGTTGGTGTTTACAATATATTCACAAACTATATCAGATTTTATAATTTTAAAATGTTTTCATAAACTATATATTATTTTAAGAAAGTGTTCATAATGTACATATTCAATTACATGTTTGTGTAGTTATATAGAGAGAAAAGAAAGGAGGGGTTGAAGAAAAAAGAAGAGAAATGAGAGAAAAACTAAAAAAATATATATCTTTCGTTTTATTTTTCAACTAATTTTTTATATTTTGAATTTGATATCGAGAAAAGACTCAAAGAATAACTATTTGCTACAAAATTTATTAGAACTGTTGTATGGTTGATAAAAAAACAAAATTTCAAAAGATCTAAAAGAATGTCACGATCCGAAAGGGTTAACCATACGATTTCCTAAGGATTTCATGCTCATCAATTTTAGAATGGAATCAATATACGTCAAATCACATATTTCTAAATAATAATTAAACTCACATTAATATTATAAACAAAAACATAATATTTAATAAAAATATATAAAATAAAAATATATACCAATATCGATATTAACAACACTCTAAAAACCATTTGGCATGTATCCATCACCAATCCAAATTGATACATCTATGGGTGGTTCATATGGTCCTTCGTATGTCTCTCTCTCTCTCTTGTGGTCTTTTCACCTAATTTAGCTCATTTAATTATTAATATTTTATTTGTTAAATTAATAAAAAAAAATATATTTAATATTACATGTACTTGAATATAATTTTGTGTATGAATTACTGTTAAAAATAATAAACTCAAAGGAGTCCGGATGAAAATATTCCAAGTCGGCCCACCCGGTTTGTATACACGCTTAATCTAATAAAGCCGGCAGCCGCCTTTCCAATTTTCACACTCATATTCATTTGTTGATAATATATCATTTATATGCAACAACAATTAAATGAATTTCTGTACAAAAAGAATTATTCAACCCAAAATTAAGCTATTAATGAATATTTAATTATTAGATGTAGACAAAGTCCATAATTATCTGCATAAATTTCTTATTTTGAAAGTCAAAATGTACCACATCCAACCACTTGGTTTCCAACCATACTTGTTAACACTTAAATTTGGCTTTTTCTCAATTCATTGGATACCAAAGTCCGAAGGAATCAAGCAACCAATCTAAGGAGTCGTTTATCCAATTGTTTACTCGGTAAGTGCTTACCGATAAAAGTCAACACTATGATTTATTTCGATGCGTAAGATTTTAGTATATATCAAAACATATCGAATGCAACAATTTACTGGGTAAGAGTCGTCATCCTCACTTACTGAATAAGACTCTCCATCCTTCTCATCGCTCTTACCTGGTAAGATTCGTGGCTCTTTTCATGTTCATCCAATGTATCAAATTTATTAGGTAAGTACTTACCAAGTAAGTGTTTAGTAAACGACCCCTAACATTTGTTTATTAATTAACATTAATGTTTTCTGTTTTTGGTTACATTATTTTGTAAAACAAACAGAAGTCGCTTAGCGACAAAATCCAAATACATTTGATAGAATTATTAAATTAAAAAAATATCAATACCAAGTCTACAGTTTATATTTATAATTTACAAAAAGACCCTTCTATTGCCAAAAAAAGACAGTAACAATCTAACTACTCGTACTGTTTCTCTCAGTAAATACCATTCTCTAAGAAACCTGATGTGAAAACATAAAACAGAAAGATTATCAAACAAATTGGCCATAGTTGGTATTTAGTAAAAAATTATTGGCTTGATCTGGATTTTTGTCAATAGTATAAGGGACTAAAATGTAAATATTTGTGGTTGTTAGAAGTGTGCATGCTGTTTCCGCTCCAACCAAACGATATTGACGAGAACAAATCATAATCCGGACCCGCACCAATTATTTGAACAGGTAATGATGTCATGATTATTATTCTTTAAGATGAAGGTTTGAAAAAATCGTCTGTATTATTTATTATCTATATTATTTATAATTTAAAATTACAAATAAATTAAGTAAAAATATAATTTATTAAAGCTACATATTTGAACTTATGTAACTAAGTACAACAAACATGATCAGATACAAGATAAATATATGATTTTAACTATAAAAAATCTAAAATATAATTAAGATAATAATTAAGTCCAAAAATTAATTATTTTGTTACAAAACTTGAATTAAGTTATAATAAAAGAGTAAATAAAAAACTACACAAAAAAAAGAACTTTTAAATAGTTAACTTGATATTAATATCAATATTTTTTTTATCAAAATTTTATAATATCTTCATATTTGTATTTTACTCAAAAAATAAAAACATTGTAGTTTTTTCAAAACTGCATAAAATCGTATTATAGCATTGATAGACACAAAAAATAAAGCGAAACATTAAAATCGATAATGTATCTCGCTATATTGCACAAATATTCTTATAATTAAAAATAAAATATTTTTTTATTAACTTGGATATCCTACCCGTTATGCGAGCCAACTAATCCCAGGACGACCACTTGCTTTGCAGATAGTCTAGAGTCACTGCATTTGAACTTCTGTAGCCACAAGGGAATTTTTATTCTTCCTTAAATTTGAACATTACACAAAGAATGAATAGTTTTTTTTATTAATAAGACATTGTTCGGGTTTAAAAATATGTTTGACTGATGATAAGTATGTTGAAACTTAGTCAAAAATGATCTCATTATAATTATGATCATCTTAAGTAGCCATTGTGGAAGAAAAAATTGAGACAAAACTAACATTTTATTATTATTGAAAAAACTGTAATTTGTATAGATATAGGCTAACTTATACATTATATTTATAAAAAATAAAAAAATAAAAAATAAAAAAACCTCAAGTAACGTTCAAACGGGTTTCGGATATTTTCTATTAATACCCACAATATTCCTTATATGTTTTAAATTATCTTCTTAATATATCAGTTTATGTCATTTTACATTATCATCAAACTTATCAGTTAATTTTTATTAAACATGTCTAGTTCATTAGCTAACTGTTAATTTTTCAGCCAACAACCACATTTAACAACTATTTATCAAACATAACTTAAGTCTTCATGCTAAAAGATAATGACAAAAAAAATCTACATAAGCAACAAACAATTTTCAATATCAACAAAAACTACTATGTTTTCTTCAAAATGAAGCAACAATTTGTTGGTTGGACATTTTATTATAACTTGGAAATTACAGATAAGCCCAAAATCAGGGCCGGTCTTTGGATTCTGATGCATTGTATTGAAATGCTAAAACTGTTGCTATATTTATTTTTTTAAGTAAACGAAACGTACAACTTTTCAAAGAGTTAGAGACTTGGTCAAGCTAGATGACTTATTCTCACTCTAAAGGAATCAGATTGGTCGAACGAGAAGAGAAGAGGAACAAAAGGAATCGGCTTGGTTGTTCAGTTGCTTGATGACTATATTCACGTTGCCTTTCTTCAATTAGATTATCCACTTAGGTGTCGTTTACCAAACATTTATCTATAAGTGTTTACCGATAAAATTCAACACTATCACTTATCAATATGATAACATATATTTTAACATGTAAAGAATTAAAAATATTTGAATTACGTTTAGCAATAATTACTACTGATTCATGTTCACTAACAATTGTTCCAGATAATTTTAACATGTAAAGAACTAAAAATACGATTTTTATAGTATGTGCTTAGTTTCGGTTAATCCTTAGGCTCTTTTTGATTACGTAGAAACTTGGATTATTTTTAGCCTTTGTAATCGTAATCTAATTTCAATAATTTTTTCCATAGGTTAGTTTCTTTATTTTAGAGCTCGGGGAGTGTCTTGAGTTCTTTGTTTGGTTGCCTGGGGTGGGGTATGCCCCTTCATTTATGTTTACTTCGGGGGTTCTCCTCCATCGGTCAATGTATTCTTACTTACCGAAAAGAAAGACTAGTTAGGTACCGTAGGTAGAGCATATTCCAACACTTCGGATAACCACTTGACATTGGCACCTTGGCCAGGTAGATCCGTCCCACTCTCCGGACCTCACCTCTGCTTTTTTGGAGTACRGGATGACTCGGATGGGCAGATAAAACAGAACCTGTCAGTTACGCCTTTAGGGGCCGCCACGTATAGCTTTAGTTTATGYTGTAGCATCGGTTATTGCTCTGGTTACGAATGACCCAATCTATCTATGRCAACCACCCCTACTTTTAGTAGATGGAGATGCGCACCTAGGAAAGCACGGAATAGACCTACGTGTCGGCCAGTGCCGGGGCAGAGATAGGGACCATGAAAGCATGGGATTCAATCGAACCTTTTCGGACAATTCCTAACG